TTATTAAAACAACATAATTTTAAGTTTTTTTTTCTTAATTTTTTAAAAATTAGATTGATAAACATTTTTCTTATATATCTCTATACACACACACTCTCTCACATACATACATATATCAACTTGAATGAATTTTTTTAGTCGAAATGGCAAAATTATTAAATGAGATTTAAGTATTAAGTAAAAAAAATTAATTGCAAGACACATGCTATATAAAAGTATTAATTAAAGTTGCTTGCCAAAATTCAATAATACGGTTAATTTCATAATTTGGCCGGGAGGCAGTAAACAACGAGTTCCGAGGAAAAAAAAATAGTAAACAAAAACAGTTCCGGTTCTTTTTTCTAGCCCTTAAGTTACCTTTAGATTGGCAGCAGGGCCATAAGAAAATGCTCTATTTTTCATTTTTCCCATTTTAAATTTAGATTATTTTCTTATTATATTCTAATAAAAATTAAGGATATATTAATTACATATTTTTTCATTAACTGTTATGTAAAAGATTAAAAATTGATTTTAATTATATTAATGACTAATTAAAGTCGTGCATGTCATTTTTTTTTTTGTATAGCGTAGCGTTAATTGTCCGGCAACAAAAAGAGTTAAATTTCTATCCTGACTTCAAATTAAAGTTCTTAGATTAGGAGATACCAATTTGACCAAATTTTTGTTAATGTGCTCATGTCATTATTATTGAAAATGAAGATAACTTATATATATATTTGCAAATTAATACTTTATAAAATAATATAATTAATACATCATTAACTTATACATTTAGGATATAAGATAAATCTTTTTATTATATTATTAACTCTATCTGCAGAATTGGGCAACCTGAGCAAAGTAGAAGTGCTTATTTTGAGAAATAATAACCTTAATGGGAGCCTGCCAATTCAAGGTAAATAATCTCTTTCGTTGTCTCATTTCCAAGGTTTAATTAGTTTCTTTTTTTGGCCATCAAGGTTTAATTAGTTCATTCTTTGTTCATTGGTTTGGTAGATTTAAAGGCTTTCACAAACTTGAGGGTATTAGATTTGAGCTGGAATCTTTTCAGCGATGGCATTCCTCCATCTATCAGGGCACTTAGTTATCTAGAAGCATTATCTTTATCTTATAACCAACTTAATGGCTCCTTACCAATTTCAGGTAAGCAATTGGACCTTTTTTTTTGAATGAATAAAGCATCCATTAATTGTGTTTTGGCTTTTCATTTTCATTTTATATGCTAATTAGAAACTAATATTAAATATGGTAAGACTTTTAAAAATAAACAAAAATAAAAACAAAAACGAAATTAGCCACTACACCTCACCAGTACCGCATACACAAAAGAAAGAATAATGGTAAATGGAACGAAAATTTAGGACCAAAATCTAAAGATCAATGACATAGCACAATTCATGTCATTTAAAATATTAAAAAGTGAATACTATATTATTTAATAATTTTTTTTATTTTTTAAAATTTATGATACTGTATATATCAATTAATTTAATGACATAATATATGTCACGTCATTAATATTAAAATTTCATTTCAAATTTTCATCCTCCCTATCATTATTCCAATAAAAAATAATATACAACCAGTAACACAATCCTTAAAGGAAGGTAAAGCCCAAATGATGTTTTAAGTTATTAAGAGTTTATAATTTTAAATTAAATATCTCGAATTTAAACTATAAAATAAGTAGAGAAATTTTTTTAAAAAAAAGATAATTATTTTTTATTATATAATTTATCAACTATTATATGAATAAGAAAAAAAACAAAAAAAAAGGGCAAATAAACAAGGAAGCAAAGGGAAGCCAATGGACAAAAAACAATGTAAACGGATCCGGATCCGGATCCGTGAAAAAAAAGCATGGATTTTGGCTTCAACCGAAGAAGAGAGATTAAACAATAGGAGAGATTAGTAAAAAAAGTGGTCGGAGAAGTTAAAACAATTTTTTTTTTTTCCCTGAAATCAGCCAAACAAAATCTTCTTGGAACTTACAAATCTTCCCTCCTAACATTCAGGTTTGTGTGGATTGAAGAGGCTTCATGAATTGGATCTGAGCCATAATAGTTTTGATGGAACGCTTCCTCCATGCCTAACCAATCTGACATCTCTTCAACTTTTAGATGTCTCTGCCAACCTATTCGGCGGAAATCTTCCCTCAAATTTGATAGAAAGCCTCGCGTCCCTCAAATACATTGATCTCAGTCATAACCATTTCCAAGGTTTGTTATCCTTTAGTTCAATTGCAAGTCACTCCAGGCTTGAGGTATTCATGCTCACAGGCTATAACAACAGCCTGAATATTGCTATGCAAACTACTGGCGAGATCAATCCATTGTTTCAACTCAAGGTGTTGGTACTTTCTGATTTGGGTCTAAACAGTATTCCCAAGTTTCTCTTTTACCAGCAACAATTGAGAGCAATTGATCTCTCTCACAACAAGTTGAAAGGAAAGCTCCCTGTTTGGTTGCTGGCGAACAATTCCCAGCTAAGATTTCTAAATCTCAGGAATAACTCTTTTACTGGCCAATTCCTTTCCCCTTCATATACAATGAGAAACATTGTTTGGCTGGATCTCTCAATCAATCAACTTCATGGGAAGCTACCAGATGATTTTGGGGACAAACTTCTCAGCTTAGAGTATCTTAATTTATCTGGGAACTCTTTCAAAAAGGACCTTCCGTCTTCGCTTGGTAAGTTGAGAAATTTGGTTAAGTTGGATTTGGCCTTCAATCGTTTCTCAGGTGAAGTGCCGAAGGAATTACTTGTGGGGTGCACCATGTTGGAACTTTTGAGGTTATCTTACAACAGATTTAGTGGCCAAATATTTACATCTGAATTCAACTTAAGTTATTTGAGTCGGCTGGAGTTGAACAACAATAGATTCGTGGGAAGGCTATCCAATGTGAAGCTTGAGATAGTAAGCATATTAGATGTTAGCAACAACGACTTGTCAGGTCCAATTCCCAGTTGGATAAGTAACGTGAGTTGGATTCTTGCCATGGGCAACAACTATTTCAATGGCCAAATCCCCTGTGAAGAGCTTTTGTCTCTATATTTTGTTGACCTTTCTCAGAATCTCCTTTCTGGTCCTCTACCTTCTTGCTTTGATTTCTCCAAAATTACTCAGATTCATTTAGAAGGGAACAACTTTAGTGGTTTGTTACAAAATTTTCTTCCCAATTCGTCAAGTACTCTTTCTGTGTTGAATCTGAGAGATAATAGCTTGTCCGGTGGCATTCCTCTGCAGATTAGTACAGTTGTGAACCTAAGGCAACTTTTGTTAGGAAAGAATCAGTTGAGTGGTTTAATTCCAAAAACATTGTGTCTACTGAAAAAAATAAACATAATGGATCTTTCTAGCAACTCTTTCTCTGGTACTGTACCTTCTTGTTTCCATAATTTAACCTTTGGGGAGGTGGTTCAGAATTATGGTGAAGCTGTTACACAAGACGGATTTTTTATGACAAACGAGTTTACTGATCGAGGTTATCTCTATGGAGTTCTACTGAAGAAGAATCTGAATCTCCACATAGATACGGAGGTTTCTGGACAGGCTATGATTAATATTGTTACAAAAAACAGGGCAGGCTCTTACGAGGGTAAAAGTATAAATCTTATGTCTGCTCTTGACTTGTCTTGTAATGATCTAACTGGGGAAATCCCTCAAGAGTACGGGATGTTATCTCAGATTTATTCATTAAATTTATCTCATAACCGATTGACAGGTCCTATTCCGGTCACTTTCTCGAAGTTAGGCCAGATTGAAAGCATGGACCTTAGCTACAACAATCTGAGTGGAGAAATTCCTCCAGAACTGGCCAACCTGAACTTCTTAGAGGTCTTCAATGTTTCATACAACAACTTATCTGGGGAAATACCAACAACCAAAGCACAGTTTCTAACATTTGACAATAGTAGCTATGAAGGAAATCCATTTCTTTGTGGACTACCGTTGGCAAAAAACTGCACCATTGAAACCAAGCTACGGCAGG